TCCCTCCAGAAATTAGTATTAATGCCTGGTTGTGTGCCTTCTCTAGTGGTTTGAAAATCACCTCACTGGCTCACAGCAAAACAGCATTATTGGTTCAACAAACATCTTGTAAGTGGTGTTTAGAGTTGAGCGTGCACAGCTCCATATGCTACCAACGAGGAGCTTCAGTACGTTCAGTCTATTGGAGACTCGTTCTGCTACTTTAGCAATGTGGATTTTCTGTGTTATCTTTGTGTCAAACTTCACTCCGCAATAAGTGAACTCATTGGTTTTTTTCTAGAGAAGTATCCTTGTGCCTTAAATGCGGATTTATGTTGTGGTGGACCAATGAAAAATTTGGAATGCGTTTTTCGAGTGTTGCTAACCATTCCATTGTTGTCGCAACAGTTTGTTAATAGTTTAAGTGCATAATTTAGGGCACTTTCCGTCCTCTTCTGAGCATTTTTCTTACGGGCGGAATACCATAGAACAAAATCATCTGCATGAAGTAAGCACTTGATGCCCGTGACTGTCTGTACCAATTTGGCTATGTCATTGATGAAGACATTGAAAAGAGTGCAGCTTGTGACAGCTCCCTGTGGAAGGCCTGTTTGTAAAAGATTGGATTTTGATCTTTGTCCAATGAATGCTTTAATCCAGTTTAACATGTTATGCTTAATACCAATCTTCGCCAATTTTAGAATTAGGTTCTCTTTCCATATCAAGTCATATGCTGATTTGAAATGGATAAATACAGCCGTAAGGGCATTTCTTGCATCAAGGGCATCTTTGATGTGTTGGGAGAAAGTGGCTACTTGATGGTTAGTTGATCTTTGCGGCCTAAAACCCGCTTGTTCACTCCTAAGATCTAGGTCAGCCTCGTGTTAACTATTCTTTCCATAAGTTAAGCCAAAATGCCTGTGAGGGAGATAGGCCTATAGTGGTCAAAGTTGTTAGGGTCTTTGCCCTTTTTTAGTATTGGTATTACTAAGACAGCTTTCCATTGGTTAGGTATAAGACTGGTCTCCCAAATTTGGTTGAAAAGTGACAGCATGATTTCTCTTTTAGGGTAAATAGAAGCTCCCATCCGGGTGAACTCTTGCAAGAAGTACTCAACTCAAAACGATAGTTAATATTAAATGGAGGAATAATCTATAAACACATGGGCTTACCTCTTATTGCGTTTACCGCATTAAAAATAAAGGTTTACTTTTCCACTAAAGTCGATTCGCGTTCAGACCAAATTAATTACAGTGAAAGCTTTCAGAATGCTGTTTACTAATATCTTCCATTTGAAATTAGTAAAGTCCCGTTAAAATGAGCAAAGACAGATAGAAATCGTGGCTCTGGTGCACGTCTAGTGGATGAAATAATGGCATGCCTACCTATCAATGCCATACCAGAAGGCGAATCTCACTAAGAGGGCGTTGAAAAGTGCTTTCCTAAATAAACTTGAAGCTATGTTGACGGTCTTCTTGGACCCATTTTGAAATAGCCAAAATGAGTTCTGTGCTCTATAGTCATCGACCAACTGCATATCTACTAAATACTAAAAAGCATGCTACTTACCAATTCGTCAATTTTTAATGCACTTTAATTAGGCCTTCCTCCGCGCCGATATACAATAACCTCAAACACTTGATTTTAAATATTAATCTAATTAAAAATCTGATGCATTCAAACCATTCGGATTTACCCCCATATAAAGTTGACGATGAGACAAACCTGGTGAAATGCCAACGAATCGATCGATCTGAAGCTTCTGGATTGCAGATAAAGTAAACTTTACACAACTCTCCTGTTCATCTTGGAGACAAATATACCTTTCTACTCCAGTGTTTGGATATTCCGTCATGATTTAAAATAGCAAGCATTCTCTGCGATTCCATGAGAAAAAGTAATTTATCGCATCTCATTGCGCAATGATAATTAGTTAGATTACTAAAAAATTAATAGTAATGAGAGCAATTTCCCAAAACCCGAATGAGAAAATAAGGAAGAAAACAATCTGCACTATTCTTGTTCCACAATAAACAGATTTACATATTTATACAAAGAAGTTCTTCAATTTACGACTCCATTCCATCAACCTCCATCCTAAAACGGCAAAAAATAAGAATGGTTAAAAGTTAGCTAGATCCTCTTATTGCGAAAGTAGAACTTAAGCAGACCAATAAAGCCCCTTTCCCTATTCGACATAAAGCAAGCCAATAGGAGGCTTGGAGTCAAATTAAGATTAATGACGTATAAGCTAGGTTTCGAAAGTAAGGAAAAAAAGCACCAAAATGTTGAAGCATTTTGAATTTACGTAGTTGCATCTGAATTTTGCTGTTTCTTGGGAGCGTCATATTCAAGTGATAATAATTGGTTGCATCGAGAGGTGTCGAAAAGATAGTCCATGACGGTCATTTGTTCTTCAAGGCGATTCAAACGCTGGTAATGTCGAGCTACAATGTTTGAACAAATGGAGATTAAACTTCAAAGGAAATAAAGCAAAAATTAAGAGTTCATCAAGTAACGTGTTACCACATTGCAAATTCTGACCCCGGAAGTTAAGAGATATAATGGGTCCCAAAAAACGTCAAAATAATTAGCAATAGGTAATCCCGGGTATTAATGAATAAGGAGCATGGTCGACACTTTAGCACCGAATCCTCATTTCGAGAAAGTCAATAAAACAAGACTGATAACGCGTAATCAATAAAGCAGAATCGCTTCTCATCTACTCTTGAACCGACTTATTTCGATAGTCTGCGAGTTGAACATTTTTTTCATGATCTAAGCGACAACTTAGCCATATCACTCCTTGTATTTTAGCGTAGAAAATTTAATCAATTAAATGGGAGATGATCTAGTCGCAATCATTCAAGCTATGCATAGTTATAAAGGCCAGGGGAATGGAATTGAGTCTGAGCAGAGAATTGTAGCTAAGTAAATGTTGCGATGACTCAATTCTCACTCAAACACCCAAGATATAAAAAACTAAAAAGCACAATACGACAAAATGGTGGACTATTTTTAGGAGAACTTAATCCCATGAAATGAAAAAAACAGCCAATCAAGAAAGGCCAAAGCATTTTGTTTTACCTTTCGAGCGTGCCAAATGAAAATAAACAACTAGCTAAGAGAATCGAATATCAAACAATGAAACAAGAAGGTCAGAAAATATAGTACATATACACAGCTATCAGTGACAAAAATTTTGTTGTGATATAGACAGTACATGGGAGCCTTGGTTACTTGCAGAGAAACCCCCCCCCCCCTTTAGGAGAAGTGATGTAGGAACTAGAAAAGATCAATTTGCAAACCATGGCGCCCAGAAAGGTAGATAATGGTCCGACAATCACATCCGCGGTTTCCTGCTTTTGTTTAGTTTCGAGCTTATTTAAGCATATGAAAGTGATCAAAATAGTGAAACAAGTCACTTGAATAGCAAAGAAGGCCGCTGAGTAATTAATGAGCATGACAATGTAAAATTTACTAAAAAATTATCTTAACTTATTGGGAGTTTCAGAAAGCAGCTGACATGAATTAATTTTATTAAATTCGAATTTTGGTCAAGCGCGTTATGACCTTGACTAACATAGTGAATAAGTCATCCAAGGGCAATCAATAGCAAAGCTCAGCAACCGTCAACAATGTATTCGTATATCTTGAACTCAAAGTAGAGCTGACTACACAGGGGGTAACATTTCCATAAAGAAATTGTCACACAATTAGAAAAGCCTAATGCACCAAGGATAAAAGGCATTTTATTCACATTTGAGAAATTTACTTTAAAGGTTAAAAAACGCAATGTCTAGAAGTGATAAAAGATAGGATAGTGATGAGATAATTTGGAAAGTAGACTATTATTAACAGGGTTGACAATATCGGAGCTCTAGTTTCTTAAATACTCAATATTGGATTAATGAAACCACTTGGCTTATTAATCATAAGATGGCGCATAATGACATGTGATTGCGAAGTAAATGACAGAAGAGGTACCGAAGAAGTGTGACCTCGACCTCTAAATGAAAGGGAAACAATTGTTTTTGTTTTGGCGAGCATGTTGAATCTGTACCTGAGCAAAAAACGACTATAAACAAGTAGTGGTGCCCTAATATTATATTTTTAGGCATTTTAGAAGCGAATAGATTAGGAAAGAAATCAAATCCATTAGCTCACGTAATCAACTTCTAATAATTCAAAATCCCATTGATTCATTGGAACCAGCAGGAAGAGGTAGATAACGATTACTAAATGGTGACTGATCAATTTATTCACAATTATTTACTTAATTCGCAAATTGTAAACAGGTTATGCTGAAAATAAGGCCTCAGTTAAACATTAGTTTCCTCACAACCTAGTTTTTAAAACCCTACGTGGTCTCGCTGGAGTTGATAACGCACAACTACTACTACTATGAGAGGTAAAAGTAATAACAATGTAAAGCGACAAAAAACTCTACTCACCAGTGTAAGGAATAAACCCGGAAATTGTATGACCAATACCTGGCCAAGTGAGAAGTCTCTCAGGTGCCCAATTAGAGATAATCCAATTAAAGACCCGCTGTGCAATTAGACAGGTTCGAGCCCTCGTGTTCCACTGAACGGCATACTTGAGAAGACGTTGGGCGAATTCCTCTGAAGGTGGTTCACCAAGAGCGAGGGGCGTTGGAATCAAACCGAAGAGTGCGGCCTCAAGAGGTCGCAGCTCTCCTGCGGGTTGGTCACCCATAAGACCCTCCATTAAGGTTATTTCTGCGGAATTAAAAAAACAGAGGTTTAACAAAGTAATATAAAGTGAAATAGAAATCTTTTCAACGATAAAAACCCAACTATTTTCATCTAAATTTATTTATTACAGCTTTCTAACTTGGGATTGTTTGGAGTATTGGTGTAAAACACCGTCTGTCAGCGCCAATGCTTGACTCCAATGCGTTTTTCATCCTCCCCATCACCTCTAACCACTACAACAACGAAAGCTGACCAAGCTCATAGAGAAATCACTTATTGATGTTAAAACACTACGACTCAGATAACAGATGCGTTCACTGATACTGCTCATTCAGCTAAACCCAATCAAAGATGTTTATTTTTGAGATTCATATAGACGATTGGATAGAAAACCAGTTATTCTAATGACTAGACAAGTTCAAACACGCTGTGTATGTTGGGACAAGATTGTAACGCCCATTATGATTCCAAAACCAAGAGAGAAGAGAGAAAAATAAGAGACAATGACGGTTTAGAAACGTTTAATAAATGCGGAATGATCGACCTCTAAGCGATTATTTGTTCAAGAAAGTTCTAATTAATCGGCACTCAATAAGTAAATCGAGGGTAAATAATAAAGCTGGCCAATATAGAAGTACATGCTCGGATTGATAAAAGGCAATGAAGAACTCTTGATGAATTTATGACCAGGTAGTAACTTAACCTCAATTTAGTAGAACTATTAACTGAAATACAATACAACTGGTGAAATTATGCTTGGTAGGTATTTAAAAGTCCTCAGTCAGCATGCGCGGTAAGCCCAGAATTGGTAAATAGTAGATAAAAATGCTACTTGTAAAAAATATAAGTAGCCAATAACATACCTTCAAGGATTTCATAGGCCTTTTGTGGCTTATCCAGTTTCACCGCAAGATAGAAGGCACGTCGATATTTCTTATTCTTAAGAAGATTTTGAAATTCTTGATCTCTACAAATAAGAAATTGAAAATTAGAATTAAATAACATACAATTAAACAACTGGCACAGTAATTAAATATATAACATGCGTTTTAATGTGTTCCGCAATAGTTTCAGAAGTGGATAATGCAACCTCATTGCTTGTATCCTAAAAGCACAACAACGAAGATCAGAATCACCTTAAATTAAAAAAACGAAAGGATTAAGAAACAAACTCTGAAGAAACATATAGTGGCGTCTTCACCACCCGTGTAGAAACCGGATTCATTTGGACAAACAGCCAGGGCCCAAATACGCCCGTTATGGGCTTCAATGACATTGGAGGAGCTTTGGTCTGTGTTAACAATAGAGGAATCATTCTTTTTGGACAAGTTCCACAGGCGAACGAGACCGCGTTGATCGCTGTAAATTATTAAAATTAGATTAAACCAAACTAATACCTCATCTAGATGGGCGAAGAAAATCTTCGCCTGGGAATAGTACACATGTCTATTCAACATCTCCAAGAATGGATAAACATCCTAGTGGATTGTGGAGAGTTCTGATAGGTTTACTGAGTTACGAGTGTTATAAGGTTGGCAACTAAGTCATTGCCGATTCCAAATAAGAAGGCAAATTCGGAATTTTGTTTAAAAATATAACTTTATTCAATTAGATATTGGCCGTTCTTGTCGATGACCTTTTTCCATCGTTCTGGCAGAGTAAAAATTCCCCCTTCGTAAAATGTCTGGTCTTTGCTATTAAAAAACTGAATTAGGTGTGATCCGACATCATCCGCGTTGTTACAAATTTTACCATTTAAAGAGTTTTGCATGGAACGAAACAAATGGTAATCCGAAGGCGCAAGGTCAGGGCTTTATGGTGGGTGTGACAAAACATCCCAACCCAGTTCCAATCATTTTTGCCGAGTAACCAAAGATGTGTGCGGGGGCCTTGGGTTATCATGATGGAAAACAACACCCTTCCGATTTGATAATGCCGGCCGCTTATCTTCAATTGCATCCTTCAGTTTTTCGAGTTGTTCAACATGCACATTTGAATTTATCGTTTGGTTCTGCGGCATGACTTCAAAATACAAAATTCCTTTGTGATCCCACCACACTGACAGCATAACCTTTTTTTGGTGAATCTCTGCTTTTCATACTGTTTGGGCTGGTTGATCTTGCTTCACCCATGATCTCTTACGAGTAACATTGTTATAAACTATCCACTTTCGTCGNCAGTAACTAGGTTCTTCCTCGGAAATGGATCATTCTCATTGCGTTTCAGTAGCGGCGAATCACAGATGCTAATCCGTTGCGTCAAATGAATTTCCTTTAACTGGTGAGGGATCCATAAATCAAGTTTCTTGACATAACCAATGGTTTTTCATTTTTTGTTTCAATGCATGTATGCGACACATTGAGCTTCTCTGCAATATCTCGTGTTGTGCTGTGACGATTTGAATCGATAATGGCCTTGATATGGGTTTCATCCACTTCGACTGGGCGGCCAGATCGTTGTGAACTTTTCCGTGAAAAATCACCGGAACGAAATCTTTCAAACCAATTTCGACACTGCCTTTCTTTTAAGGCTTCATCTCCATATACGGCACATAACTTCTTTTGTGCTTGCGATGCGTTCTTGCCTTTTCGGAAGTAATACAATAAAATGTGTCGGAAGTGCACGTCCTGTTCTTTCATTTTTAAATTGGGACAAAAACAAAACTAAAGAACTAAACAAATTTTTTACTAATTAACCTAGAAGCCCATACAGTAAGAAAAAAATATAGGTTAGATGCTCTGGCCACGTTAACAAAACAAAAGAAAGTATAGAGCGAATCCGTCAACAAAAACGGCAATGACTTAGTTGCCAACCCAATAGAAGCAAGAGGCGTACCGAGATAGCATATCTAACTTCTCATCTCAATCAGCTGAAATTTGAAACTCAAACCACGATAGGATCAACTCGAAGAAGCCCTATTTTAAGCTCTGAGTCAGTATTTATAATTGTCACTTCATTATTCACTAATTTTCGATATTTTTTACATGAATACGGATGATAAAATCTCATAGTAATAATAAAAGTTACATACCATGAAAGAATTTGTCGGCCCTTGGAGATAAATTCAGCTCTGTAAACTGGTTCTTCATGGCCTTCGAACGTCTACAAATGGAGTCAAATTTGAATTAATATAGAGATATATAGCTAAAACAAATAGAATTAAACTATACTTGAACACAAGACAGATTTTTGAGATTCCACAAACGCAGATCATGATCACCAGAGGCTGTGAGAAGGATCTACAAGCAGGATAAAAATGAGGTGATAAGCCATTTACCTAATGCGAGTTCATAGATCAAAATAATTGCAACTATTTACTCTGTCATATTCAGAGAAACGAACAGACCATACTCCACGACTATGTCCTTTTAAAACTCCAACTAATTTTGGCTGCAGGTTCTTCCCTCCCACAAAACCATCCAACGACCATAGCTAAAACAGATAAAGATGCAGTTAGAGAGACGATCAAGTAAGCGATCCAAACAAAATTGAGGAACCATACCTTGGCGGTTTTATCTCGAGAGCCTGTGGCCAGAGACCTTCCATTTGCAGACAAATGGATGCAATTAATAGCACCTTCATGAGCGTCTCCTACAACATCACCTATCTGGAGCATTTTTGACGCCTCGCTTGACTCAGTATTCAAAATCCAACTCTTGAGAACACCGTCAGTTGAACCGGAAAACACAGCTGACATATTTCTGGGGAAGATAGAAAAAGCCATAGATAATTTCAAATCAACATTTTACACGCAATCCCCAGTATCCTTAAAGGGATAACCTTAAGAACCTTCAAGGGAAATTAAGACGTAATGACGGAGTGAATGACCAAACAGACAAAGTGAATTAATAGATGGATGACCGAACACTTCAAAATACCATTCCCATAATGAAATTAGGCTATTTAACAGAGCTAACCTCATTTATCGTCGAGACGCAGTCGGCCTATATCACCATCTTAAGAACTATTATAAATGAATGTAACAATAAGTAAACACAAAAGTTGAATACCTCGCAAAACAGACAGCCGAGATATGGGCATCATGAGCACTAGGGATGAAGACTTTGCAAATCAATTTAGGACGACCTCCACTTTTATTTTCAGGTTCTTCCAGTTTCCACAAACCAAGCCCCTGATCATGCCCACCTGTAAGGAGAAATAGGCCACAATTCGAGACCACCATATCTCCAATAACACCAGTATGTGGACTTTGAACCAGCTGGCATGACCAAGAGGCACCATCAGTAGCATTGGAGCTTGGAGGATTTGAGAAGAGTTTGAGATTCGCAGAGACATCAGCCAGAACCAAACGGTTTTTCTTTGCTCCCATCAGACACAGTTGATCCACTGATCCTATTTCTCCAATACACTAAAGAAAAAAGAAAATTATATAAATATATATAATCGACAGTAAATAAATACAGGAATTAGTAACTACTTCATGGAACAATTTGAATGAATCAGCATCGAACAGCTCAACATGACTGCTGGCTCTCGTAAGAGCAAGGATAATTGGACAACTAGAAATAGAAGAAACGGGAAACACAGAGAGGAATTCGATAGAGTGAAGTCCGAAATCGAGACATTTAAGGGCAGCGGTATCGGAAGAGAAATTAGTGGGTCCACGAACTTCTAGCACGCAATGAGAAGTATCCGTATCCCAAACGCGCGCCATTCCCCATTGGCCACCGCTCACTAAAAATGATTTTGACTTGCCTGCGGTGACCGGAACATAATTTTTCAAGGCTCCAGGTGGGAGATACGCGAGTGATTGAATACACTAAAGAAATATTTGTAAAGTTAGAGAAAATGTACCTCAAAAGTGGGAATCGTTTTAACACGCTGTAGGGTTTCAGACGACCATATGATTATGACCTTATCGTAACCACAGCTAAAGAAAAAAAACGAAATGAGTTGAAATTTCACTTACGTAGCAAATTGTTTACCCGAAGATAAGAAAGCAACATCGGTTATCTTTCCTTGATGACCATCAAGTTTAGTGACTAATTCACCAGTTTCAGTGTTCCATACAGTGAAACTGAGTTCACCAAGAGCAGCGGAAATTAAGAATGGTTTGGTTGGATGGAAACGAAGTAAACTAAGCGAAAACAACCGCCGATGATAAAGTTTCGGGATGAAATAAAAGCAGAAATAAGGAAACTCACGTTATTTTGGTTGAATGAGACCTGCAACTAGCCACAAAACCATCACCGGGACCAACATGCCAAATACGAATAGTAGAATCACTTGAACCGGTAGCCAATCGTGTACCGTCATGATTCAGAGCCAAGGTACTGATGACCTTTGTATGTGTGGACTAAAAAGCTGATTAACAATGACCAAAAATATACCTTCCACCTGGATAAAACCTTTTGATTCAAGCGATCATAACGAATTAGAAACAGGCTTTTTGTTGCGAGATATATAAACTAAAACATTAAGCAGAAAGTTGTCACCTACGCTATCTTTAGGGCTAACAACATATGAAGTGATTTCTTCATCCAACCCCTCAAATTTAGTATAAGTTCCAGATTCTGAGAGATTACAGGCTGACAATTGCACTTGTCCATCACAATCTCGTCCACAAATCAGATTACCATCATCACAAATCTACGAGATGTTAGCAAATATCTAAACTTACAAATAATGGATTTGATACCGAAAATTGAGGAGAAAAGCGCGACTCGATATTAAAGCTAAAATAATTAATTTTATTGGGGGACGCATACCTCGACTTTAGATCAGAAGGCATGACTTGAGACTGTGCGTGCAGGGCTCAAGGTAGGTCTTGACCTAAAATCCGTGTGACTGCTTCAAGATGTGCTTATTAAAACAAGACAAAATTTGGCGTATAAATTTTTTTATATTATCATAATATTTTATTTTTTTATTTTATATTAAATTAATAAATGTGATATTACTCACTCACAACAGAGCATATAAATAGTTTATCCATATATGTATATATATAATTACCAATACATGCTACCTGCAAAATGACTTCGTGAATTCTGAAAATATCCGTAAAAGTCAATGAAAAAAAATTATATTTCTTATGCTTATTGAATTGCAGTCACTTGAGTGGATAATGCAATTTTCACGCCTGTCATTCAGTCTGTCAGGGACAACAGCACAAGGTGCTTAAAAATACATCTGTATCCGATATATACAAATATTTAAGAAATAAAAACCCCTGGTCAAATTTTAATGGCAAATTCTATGGCAATTTTACTTCGTTATTTAGCCAAAACTGAAATTAATTCATTGGGACTTCATAATATTTTAGTAAGCTACTTTAGGCGTATCCCAATTAATCACATTTGTAACTCAACGGATTTTTTAATAAATACATTTACATAGCTTGAGAGATTAACGTAAACGAAAGAGTTTGTTTAATGATTCTTCGAACTGGGAAAATCAAGGGGAGATGAAGTAATTTGAGTTGCCGGAGAACAGAGGGAAACATAAATTGTGGGTAAGGGTTTTACGACACTAAGTGATGTGAAGACTGAGGCTTAAAATCTATTACTTTAGGGTTAGATAAGCTATCAAGTGGCTTTGATTTTAACAAACCACTTAAGTACACCTGATGACTTTCATACTAAAACGTATTTCTTTATTTGACGAATATATGTAAGTCTATGAATTTGAACTGTAACTCTTAATTGAGTCATTTATCAATTTCAGTTATTTCTTAACGGAATTTCATTATCTGTTTTACATTCACCTTCTAACATACTTTATACTTCCTCCTTCATTTATGTAACGTTCATTTTAATTAATATGTTCTTTTAGTTTTCTGATGCTAACCTTACCAGTCTCTGAGGGGCCAATCAATTTAATGATATCATGCCGTACTCTTAATCGATCAAAACATTGATAACTGAAATCGGTGAGAAGTGCTTTCTCAAAGTATATAAACAGACGCTCTCTTGCCAAAAAAAGTCTGCGTCTTAGCCACACTTAACATGTCGCTCCTACGACATTTGAAAAAATTGAACTCCTTGTGTCAAGTCCAGACACGACTGCACAAATCAATGGTTGATACGATTTTAAGACGATATCAGGTGTCACTGGCGTGTTTCCAACGAAACACTTGATTTTTCAAGTGAATGCTGCTGTCTTTCGATCCAATTTCATTGATTGATGGAGGCGTGGGTGGATGGATGGATGGACTCACAGTCATTTCAAATAACGATATTCGATTTAAATGATTGAAAGTAATTCATCTCATCTCTAAAACTAATTTTCGCTAATAGTATCCAATTAATTGACCTCTTTCGCTACCAGATTTTTTTGTTACGTTAGTTACTCTGTAAATAGATTCTGCTTACATAGATTCCGGTGGGAAGGGGTTTTCAGGAGAAGTACTTGTGGTTTGGTTACTAATTGGCTCCTTAATGAATCAATTATCAATTGAAGTTCGTTTGCCTCCTTCAACCTTGTTTATATGTGTAGGCAATGCTATTTTTAGATCAAATTCATCAGCATTCTTTCACTTAGTGTTAATAATGGAAGTGATCTGATTAAAAGCCAGCTCCCAGCCATTTAACTCAATAACAACTTGCTTAATTTATCGGCACTTTGCAAAATTACTCAACAGTAATTACTTAAGTCAATTTGTTTTTATCTATCACTTAGGCTGATCGTTTGATATCATCGACCCTATTAATGAAAATCTCACTTTTGCGAGTTTATCGCTTACTGCAACCTTGCCGTTCGTGCATAGTAGTGTTTTGCCAAAAATGAGATTAAGAAGGTTGGTGGAGAATTTTGTGGATTGCGAGGGGGATGCGGCAGGAGGGGGGAAAATGTGGAAGAAGTGGAGGAGCAGAATAAGACGGCGGTGAGGTACCCCATACATTGACAAATTTTAATGGAGTTCGGTATTCCAAAGCCTTGGTACGTTTCTTCAGTCATGGTTGCAGCGACTCGGATGTGGGTTTAGTAGCAGAATTGCTATTGGCCTATCTTTAGTGCAGCTTGTTACAAAACATGGTCACAAATTAGAGCTGGGAGATAACGAAAGACTAGGTAAAGAGCCATTGGTACAGGTTCTTGTGCGCATTCAGCCAACTTCGGCCAACAAATTTGATATAGAGGGAGTGGAGACAGTGAAGGTATTGGTAGGATCCACTGCAGTAAGGAAAGAGGGAGAGGGGGTGAAGGAGGATGAAGGAGAAGAGGAGGAGGAGGGGGTGGAAGAAGAAGAGGAAGATGGAGAAAGAGGTGGAGAAGGGAAAGAAGTGGAAGAAGAAGAAGATGCACAGGAAGAGGAAAAACATGAAGGGAGAGAAAAAAGAAATGAAAGTGGAGGTCAAAGAAGAAACGTATGAAAAAGTCGAAAGATGAGTTGAAGTAGAGCAAGAACTGGACGAAGAAGAAGAAGAGGAAGGGGGAGGAGTGGAATTGGGAGGAAGTGCCGTAGAGGAGGAGAAGAAGATAGAATTGGAGGGCACCAGGATACAGATGGATACAGCGACGGAAATGAGTAGTGACAAGATAAAGGCGACGAAGAGGGTACGATTCAATGAAATAGTCTCTCTTTAAAATTTGACCTGGGAATTTCGACTCTGGCCACGGAATATCTATTGTGTTTCGGATTTGGTGGCTTTTGAAGAGTTACAATTAGCTTACCTCAAGTGGCAAAACTTATGGGGAAGGCACTGTTCTGGATTAGGACCCGAAGTGCACCAACAGTATTGGAGGGAGCTTTTGACGAGATTACTTATGGTTCGTAAAGGTGGTGAGAGTTGTGGTGGTGGCGAGAAACCGGCGGAGGCTATGTTTAAGAGTACTGAGTTTCATTCAACGATGGGACCTTGGGCACAGTGGATCTACATTGCGGAAGTCAATCCCCAGGTAAGTCAACACACACGTAGGTCACATGGCTATTGCCCCTCTGACCTCAACATGGTGGCATGGTGAACTACTGGTGATGACTTTTGGTTAATTCAACCCAAGTGCTTTTGACCAACCAACATTGGTGGGTCAGCGAGTGAATGAGAGGACCGTCTGGCAATTTATGAATGGGCTTTTCTCTCTTCTGGGCCACGTTTCAAGATGAAATGTCTGCCGAAGAGTGGGCAGGGGGTGCGAGTTACAAATAGGGCTTGAGAAAGTCATTGCCTTTCTTACACGTCATCTTCCACTTCCGGAGGGTACAATTCAAATCAACTTCATCCCACTTTTCCACAGACATGACAGTGCTGAAACCTCAGTCCATCTCTAAGAGACGCTTCCTCACCCCTGACCATACCACATCAGCCTAGAGGAGTGAAGAGGAATTGAAATGAAACATGACGATAGTTATCAACATAGGTGTGAATTATCGTTATTACCTTTGGTTAGACAAATATTAGGTTGGCAACTAAGTCATTGTCGTTTTTGTTGACGGATTCGCTCTATACTTTCTTTTGTTTTGTTAACGTGGCCAGAGCATCTAACCTATATTTTTTTCTTACTGTATGGGCTTCTAGGTTAATTAGTAAAAAATTTGTTTAGTTCTTTAGTTTTGTTTTTGTCCCAATTTAAAAATGAAAGAACAGGACGTGCACTTCCGACACATTTTATTGTATTACTTCCGAAAAGGCAAGAACGCATCGCAAGCACAAAAGAAGTTATGTGCCGTATATGGAGATGAAGCCTTAAAAGAAAGGCAGTGTCGAAATTGGTTTGAAAGATTTCGTTCCGGTGATTTTTCACGGAAAAGTTCACAACGATCTGGCCGCCCAGTCGAAGTGGATGAAACCCATATCAAGGCCATTATCGATTCAAATCGTCACAGCACAACACGAGATATTGCAGAGAAGCTCAATGTGTCGCATACATGCATTGAAAAGAATTAAAAACCCTTGGTTATGTGAAGAAACTTGATTTATGGATCCCTCACCAGTTAAAGGAAATTCATTTGACGCAACGGATTAGCATCTGTGATTCGCCGCTACTGAAACGCAATGAGAATGATCCATTTCCGAGGAAGAACCTAGTTACTGGCGACGAAAGTGGATAGTTTATAACAATGTTACTCGTAAGAGATCATGGGTGAAGCAAGATCAACCAGCCCAAACAGTATGAAAAGCAGAGATTCACCAAAAAAAGGTTATGCTGTCAGTGTGGTGGGATCACAAAGGAATTTTGTATTTTGAAGTCATGCCGCAGAACCAAACGATAAATTCAAATGTGCATGTTGAACAACTCGAAAAACTGAAGGATGCAATTGAAGATAAGCGGCCGGCATTATCAAATCGGAAGGGTGTTGTTTTCCATCATGATAACCCAAGGCCCCCGCACACATCTTTGGTTACTCGGCAAAAATGATTGGAACTGGGTTGGGATGTTTTGTCACACCCACCATAAAGCCCTGACCTTGCGCCTTCGGATTACCATTTGTTTCGTTCCATGCAAAACTCTTTAAATGGTAAAATTTGTAACAACGCGGATGATGTCGGATCACACCTAATTCAGTTTTTTAATAGCAAAGACCAGACATTTTACGAAGGGGGAATTTTTACTCTGCCAGAACGATGGAAAAAGGTCATCGACAAGAACGGCCAATATCTAATTGAATAAAGTTATATTTTTAAACAAAATTCCGAATTTGCCTTCTTATTTG